GATTTTTCTTTTATGCCAAAAATCATTAGGATATTAAGTAAAGATCATGTTCCATGAAGATAGTTTGTAAATGTCCTACCGTAAATGTATCAAAACTTAATTTTTGATTAGTAATATGCATTGCTAAGAACTTCATTTGAACAACTTTAAAGATGATTTTCTCAATATTTTGATTTTTTTTGCACCCTCAGATTCCAAATAGTTGTATCTCAGCCAAATATTGTGCTATCCTAACAAACCATACATCAATGGAAAGCTTATTTATTCAGCTTTCAGATGATGCATAAATCTCAATTTCGAGAAATTGACCCTAATGACTGGTTTTGTGCTCCAGGGTCACATATGTGCTCTAGAAAATTAGCCTATTGTGGCGCCGTCACCGTAACAAACGAATAAAATAAATTATATTATTAAATGTATTAAATAATTATAACTAACTGTTTATTATTTTAATTAGATATTATTAATTATATTAAATAAATTACCAAACTTTGATGAACAAGGAGAAAACTACAGTTTACAGCAATAGTACTGATCGTATTTGTTGTATTACTGATTTTCAAATATTATATAAAATGCACTTCTTTTATTATTCACTCGTTAGGATTAATCCTATCTTTTTGTGTCCATGAAGTTTCCACACGTAAATAAATGCACACTGAAAAAATAAATAATAACACATAAAATATAGATTGAGGTAAAGTTTCCAAAAACAAACAAATAAATAAATACAAAAAATGCCGTTCAAGTTTTCAAAAATGAATAAATAGAGATGAATTTCAATTTGCCAAAGCAAAAATCAATAAGTAAAAAAACTAAACAAAAAACATAAATTGTTTAATTTAATAAATAATGAAACAGAAATGATAATATAATATTAATAATAAAGCATATATACAAAACAGAAAAAGTAAAAAAAAAAAAAAAAATTTAAGATTGTTCTATGAATGCATGCATAAATAAATAAACAAACAACCAAACCAACAGAGATGTAGTTCAAGTTTTCCAAAATTAAAATTAATGAATAAAATAAACGAGACTGTGTTCAATAATAAATGAATGAATGAAAGAAATTGGGTTCCTTTGTGAGGTCTTTAATTAATTACATTATTAAAACATAATTACCTATATTGTGATAGGGTTCCTTTGTGAAGTTTTTAATTCATTAGAATATTTTTAAAAATTACCTATATTGTGGTATACAGTGGTCAACATTTGAAGTGGATCAAAAAAATTCATCAAAGTTGTCCTAACACAAGAACACATTGGTTTTAGGTTTTAGGACAACTTTGATGGATTTTTGTGATCCACTTCAAATGTTGACTACTGTATATAGTATTAGTGTGACATAAAACTACTGAATGTTTCTGTCATAGCCATAGAAAGGCAATGATAACAGCTGGTGCGTTACCTTGCGGTGTCGCTCTCGGTCTTTGCACTTCTCTCTGACCCAGTCGATGGTGTGGAAGTCGTCGTAGGTTCCCACGCCTGGAATGGGCTCCTCCAGCAGGTCCAGCAGGTGGGTGGAGCTACTGGCCCCAGCTCCGCCCCCTCCATTAGACATGGCGTAGTTCGACCCTAAACACACACACACACACACACACACAGACACACACAGAGAAGTGAGTGAAAGAACTGCTTTCAGAAGAGCCGTAGTTGGTGTGAATCTTTGGGTCGATTCAATTCACAGGTTTTCGGAACGATTCTATTAAATCTGATTCACAACAAGACTCGATTTGATGTCTATTAATGATCTGATTCTCATTTTCTAAATGCATTCAAAGGATTATTGAAACGCTTCACCTAATGTTTAATGTAGCATTACGTCACTTGCTCATCAATGGATGCTCTGCAGTGAATGGGTGCCGTCAGAATGAGAGCCAAACAGCTGATAAAAACATCACAATAATCCACAAGTAATCCACACCACTCCAGTCCATCAGTTAATGTCTTATGAAGTGAAAAGCTATATTTATAAGAATCAAATCCATCATCAAGACATTTTTGATCTTCAAACTGTTGCGTCTGCCTAAAATACGAGTCCATAATCCATAATAACGCTTCCTCCTGTGAAAAGATGGTCTTGTCTGAATCAGGAGAGAAACCTGCACAGATCAAGCACCGTTTTCAAGCCAAAACAGGGGATGGACTTTTTCACTGGAGGAAGCGTTATTATGGATTATGGACTCATATTTTAGCTCTAAAAGCAGTTTGAAGTTTTAAAAAAATGTCTCAATTGATTTGTTTCTTATAAACATGCATCTTTTCTCTTCACAAGACATTAACTGATGGACTGGAGTGGATTACTGTGATGTTTTTATCAGCTGTTTGGACCCTCATTTTGACGGCACCCATTCACTGCAGAGCATCCATTACTGAGCAAGTGATGTAATGCTACATTTCTCCAAATCTGATGAAGAAACAAACTCATCCACATTGTGTTTGGCCCGAGGGTGAGTGAATTATCTTGACCGAAGCAAATGACTCATGATTCAAAAATCAATTTTTCAAGATTTATGCATTTGCATCAGCAGGATTCGTAATCATTGCATCAAGAAAAGAAGTGAATCGTTACACCCCTACTATTTAGCGTTTCTTAGATGTGGTTAGTGAATTGAGCAAACCTCAATTTAACACTCAAGTGAGTCACTGAACTCTCTGAGGCAGCAGAACTGCATGTCCAACACTCGTTACTACAGCTTGTTTGTTGGCTGCACTTAATGAAAGCAGAGATCTGGGTCGTCTGGACGCATGTTTCGTCAGCTGATAATCAGCAGCTAATCAGCTTTTCCACACAACCTCACCCGCTAGAGAAACACACGCTTGTACACACTTCCCTTTTCTAGAAACAAACCAACCCGGCACCTCGCTGTGAGGAAAAAAACACAGCTGACACCTAACCAGGCTACACGCATAAATAACCTACTGTAAACCCAGAAACAGCACAAGAAATCTCACTCTTACAAATATACATGCATGCAGGAGAAAAACAAGCTATATTCAGCAGCGACCAACATCTAGACCAGCATGCAATGAAAATGTGCGTTACTAACAGTGTTGGGCAGTAACTAGTTACTAGTAACTTAGTTACTGTAATAATATTACTTTTTGCCGTAACTATAGTAGTGTAACTAATTACTAATAAGATTTCAGTAATAATATTACAGTTACCATCCATAAAACAGCTTAGTTACTTTTGATGCCTCAACCCCGATATTACTTATTCATATTTTGTTTGTGTTAGTTTATTTTTATATTTATTACTATTAATATATTACTACACACTTTATTTATTATTGTTATTCATTATATTGCATTTACTTAATTAGCATTCATATTATTTATTATTAATATATTATATTTTAAATAAAGAATAAATATTATTGGTAAAATGAATAACTGTATTATTTTTATTTAATAATTTATTAATATAAATAATACTCTTATGGCTTTGTGTTAATATCAGTAGCTTAATTATTCATTATTATTATTTAATTTACATATTTATTCTGTTGAATTACTATTAATGTTTTTAATAATCAATAGCTAATAGCTATTATTTAATACTTTATTAATATGATTATTGATTAATATTCGTACATTTTGTTTGAATATTAATAGTTCATATTGTTAATTATTCAATTTATTATTAATTAGTTAATTAGTAATATTTTAATCAATAGTTAATATTTATTATTAAATACTTTATTAATATGAATAACATCATGAGTATTTATTAATATCCTTATGGTTTTGTGTCATTAATATTATTTTAATAATATCATCTGTTAGAACTCGTATGACATTGAAGATCATTAGTAGAGCTCGACCGATATATCGTTTAGCCAATATTATCGGCCGATATGAGCCTGTCGCCGATATATCAGTATCGGCGAATATGCCGCCGCTATGAACTTTTTTTACAGAACATATAACGCAGATTAAATGCTTCTGAATGGTGTAATTACTTAGTTTGTCCAGCAGAGCGCGCTCCATTGTTCGCTACTGGCGACTCAGGTCAGTGTAGCGTAGAGAGAGAGAGAGACCCATAGAATTTACAAATGGCCACGCCCATTTTTAACGACAAGAAAAAGGTGGATAAAGTTTATTGTTAAATTGTTAAATACCCTGCCTCCACTACATAGGCCTATGTTTGTCACATGTTGATCACTACATTTGAGTTATCATTGGAAAAATGTGTTTATGTATATATATTCTGTTTATGTAGGCTATATACTGTATTCTATATACAGTACCAGTCAAAAGTTTGGACACACGAATGGGAAGAATATTGTACTATAATATAGCCTACACAAAGAATATCGGGCGATATATCGGTATCAGTCTTTTTTTACTCCCTAATATCGGTATCGGCCCCCAAAAAACCCATATCCGTCAGGCTCTAATCATTAGCTATCAAAATTTCATGCAACCAACTCAACGGTCTTCGCAATATTAATGCGTTCAAGCAAACAGCGGAGATGAAAACAGACTGCATCACATTTCATCTGAAGCTCACGTCTCCCTCGGAGCGACTCGATGAGGATACGGCAAATTAAATCGTCCCTGCTGACTCACTCGCGCATGAAACCCTCGGGCTCATTCACCACCGCCACACATTTCACTGCGTGATGATCTGCAAAGAGCTTGTGCTTGTGAGAGAGGGTTGTGTCATCCTTCACAACCCAAAGCAACAGCAATAAAAAGGAAGCAGAGGAATGTCTTTTGGGCAGTGTTTGTCTCTGATTCCTATAACACTGCAAACATGAGACGGGCCACAGTGAGACTCTGTCACATGTGCTGCAATGCATACTGGGAGAAATTCACTGCAAATGAAGTTAAACGTGAGGAAATGTGTTGAGTGGCTATTTTTATTGGCAGCCTTAAGCATAAACAAAGCCTAGACATGATATCTACAAAAAAGCAAAATACTGTTAATTGGAGTCTATTCTATGAAAATTCTACACTGGCAGATCTCTTCATGTTTTACGTATAAACAAAATACACTCACATTTTAGATCAAATTTAACTCGTTTTAAGGGAACTAAAAAGAAAGACAAAGACTCATAAGGAATAACAAATAACAAACATGTTATATTATTGTTATTTATTTATTATTAATTAATATTTCATTTGTTTATTATAATTTTATTCATTATTATATTTAGTTTGATTTGTATTCATAGTAAAAATATTTTTCATAAATAACGTCAGTAAAATTAACAACCAACAGCTAATAAATCGTATTTTATTTTAATACTTTATAAATATTATTAATATTTGTGGTGTTCTGTGATAATGTTAGTAGCTTGTTTTGTTATTTATTTATTATTACTATTTAATTTATTATTATTAGTCATATTATGACTAATATTTAATTAGTCTCTCTCTGCCTTGTTTTCCAGGTAAAATATCCAAAAATGTTCAAAACGAGATCAGTTTACTCAAAGAGCAGCACTGTGTAAATTATTAAGAATTACTTTTAGAAAACATATCTTTAATACGGGTGTATTTTGTCTCGCTGCGCTAGCAGATCTTTTAGTGTTTTAAGTATAAACAAGTTGAAAACAAGTGAAAAGAGACAAAATACACAATTCAGATCAAATTTAATTCATTTTAATGGATTTTTAGATTAAAAAGAAAGGCAAAAATGCTCATTAAGAATACATGTTTGCAGTGCATTCATAGCCTTAGCCAGAAGAGATGAGACTGTCTTACAGCTTTTCCAGCATCTTTAAAGGGGTCATATGATGCCCATTTTCCACAAGTTGATATGATTATTTAGGGTCTTAATGAAAAGTCTGTAACATAGTTTGGTTAAAATTTCTCAATGGTAGTGTAAAAACACCTTTTTTACCCTGTCAAAAACAGCTCTTTTCAGGTCAAGCCGTTTTTGTAGCATTTTCCTTTAAATGTTAATGAGCTCTGCTGACCCCGCCCCTCT